GTCAATTGGATGGAAAATTCCAAGCCATTGCCTGGCAACGTATTTTGTTTGACTAGTTGACTTCTTCCTAAAGATGAAAGAGAGTGACTGGCCCAAAGTCAGCCTAAACTAGCTGCATATTTATATGAAGATTAGAATTCATAGAATTCATTCACTAGCTTTTTTTTATTTAACTCCAGAGCTTTAATGATTGTATCAAACTGATTGCCCCATAAAAAGAGACCTGCCGGATCTGTTTGAGGCCCATCTTTATCCACCCAGGGGCCAAATGGAATGCCAAACAGGTGCTCACAAGCAGGAGACAGAAGTCCACTTTCTCCTGCTGTCGTTGCCCTTCAACTTGTATTTAGAGCTCACCGAAGCTGAAAGATGAATGCCCCCTTGACAGACCTGTCCTCCCTGCATTTATTTAATCCTCTTGCACTTTATACCATGCAAGTTATTGACCATCATCATTATCAGGTTTTACAGGAATAAATTCCCTCTAATGTGGTTATGCATTATTTCAACTCTCTTCATTGATTTTCAGTAGTGTCTTTATCATCTGCAAAGTTTCTTAAAAGAAACTCCTCAAACGAAGCAAGCACATAGATTCAACAACAAAAAAGATGGGGTTGAAAGATTAGGAATCATGGAACTATCAGTCTTCTTAGCAGTAGGGTGAACTAGCAAAATTAGATGATGATGATGATTGATGATGATGATTGATGATGATGATGATGATGATGATGATGATGACGACATAACTAAGCATAAGCTGTAAACTACCCAGAGTCACACTCTTTGAGTTCAGTGGTCCTATAAATCCATTGAATGAATGAATGAATGAATGAATGAATGAATGAATGAATGAATGAATGAATCAATGAATCAATCAATCAATCAATCAATCAATCAATTAAAATAAATAAATAAAATAAGCAAACAAACAAACAAATAAATAGTCAACATTTTTGTTGTTACCCATCCAATCAGTTCCGTGGATGCAGCTTTTTCTTCTTCAATTGGAAAGAAATTTTGGGACCATTTCTCCGATGTTGAAGAATGAAGATTATTGAGTGGATGCTGTGAATGAAAGGATTCCATTATTATGACATGCCTTTCTGCAGTCGAAATTGCTGATCAGAAGATCTTTAGATCATGTTTTGAAGCATGCCAAAAGCTGTTTGAGATCAGCAGTTGAGGACAAGCAACTGCTACTCTTAGTCAGTACGTGCTGAAGGTTTCAAAATAGTCCTCAGCTCCTCGAGGTAAAAATGGGGAGGATTCTGACTGTAACGTTGCAGAGATCCTATCAGTCAATATCCATAGTATTGAATTAGACAGAACAACTCATTTCTATACCAATAGATAATAGCCTTTTCAGCCCAGATTCTAAACAGTGGTCAGCTAACTTTCCAGCCTTGTCAATTGGTTGTGGGGAGAGGGGATGGTTCCACGTGACTGGACACATGTTTGCCCACCTGCTGGGTGCGCAAGTGAAGTCTGGTTCTAATCGGCAGTGGCCCGGTAGTGGGCCATGTCCTGGGGGTTGGGTACCCTCCTCTAAATGAATATACACGTGTACAATTGGAGACTTCAGATTAAGGAGGTACAGATAGTCTCCTTCAAGTTGAATTTGATTCATTGGGCACATAATCCACATGGTTTTCTGGGCAACAATTTGGAGGATTGTGTGAAAATCACAGACTTAAAATTTGCTCAAGCTTATCCACATACAGCTACAGATTTATTACTGTGATCACTCAGCCCTCAGGTGATTCTGAATGTTATGGGATACCAGCCATGACTTTACCCTAATATGTCTACTTATTTGAGAAAATTGCACTTCATTGACTCAACTTTCAGATTAGGGCCACTCAGAGGTGGTATTCAGCCAGTTCTGGCAAATTCTTGAGAATCGGTAGAGAAAATTTTGAGTAGTTCAGAGAGCCAGCAAATAGGCTGGCCCCGCCCCTGTTGCCTTCCAGCTGATCTTCTTTTGTTACCCTGAACAGGAGAATGGAGCTGGAAAGCAGGTTCGTGGGGTGGGGATTTTGCAGTAACCTTCCTCTAGGAGTGGGGAGGGAATGGGGATTTTGCAGTATATTTCCCCTGCCATGCCCACAAAGCCATGCCCGCATAGTAAAAATTACTACGGTAATAAAAAAAATTTGAATCCCACTACTGCGTCCACCCTTGTGTGAATCTAATCCATATTTCGTTCCAGACAACACTGAGTATTCCAATTCAGAAGAACAATAATAAAACATGATTTTACTATAAATTTCATTTCACCTTTTAAATGAATCTGGTGCACTGAAGGAATTGATCCTGTACCCACCTGATTATATCCCTTGAAACAGTCCTGCTTTTCATTGGATGAAAAGGGTAAAATGCCTAGGGTAGCATGGAAGTTGTGGATGACAAGAACCTTAAAGGACAGGAAAAAGAAGTAAGGTAAGAATGCTATTGTAGCAAAGATGGGCCTACCACCAAGACTTATCATGAGACAATAAACAGGTCAGTCCATACAAGCCACAAAGTGTATCATTTATTTATCTCTTCAACTAAGTCTCCTTATTAAAACTAATTCAGAAAATTTTAGCTTTGTGGGGGGGGAAAAGCCATAATCTCCTCATTGCCACATAACCATAGTAGAACTCACACTAATAGTAAAGCAAAAAGATTTAAACCATGTTACCATTTAGTACCATGATGTTTAAATAATGGTTAAAATCTTAGCTAAATGTTACATGCAATCATAAACCTATAACCCACAGTTGCCTAGCGTTTGATTGTATTACCTTGTCAGTTATTAGTATTAGATTATATTCCCGTGAAGTTTATTAGATGCCAGTTTATTTGTTTATTTATTTGTATCCCACCTTTATTTTTACAAATAACTCAAGGTGGCGAACATATCTAATATATCTTCCTTCTCCTATTTTCCCCACAGGAACTCTGCGAGGTGAGTTAGGCTGAGGGAAATTGACTGGCCGAAGGTCACCCATTCTAGTCCCATCTTAGCTATGTTTTAGGTTCCCTTCGGCCAGAAAGCCAGCTGGGTGACAGGCCAGCCATTTTCTGCCAGCCCAATTCACCTCACAGGGTGCTTCTTATGTGGAAAAAAATAGACAGAAGCATTGACTATGTATCTGTCTTGGGGGTGACCAAAATAAAAATAGAAATAGAAATCAATACATTCTGCTTAGTTCATTTCTATCAGGTGATAATTTATTTCCTATTCGTTTTGGCGTCGTTTTTAAGGTTCCCCTTTTTATTATTCTGATTTATTACTCTGACTGCTTTGTTGTATGTACCATTTATTTCTTTTTAATCCTACAAAAAGTCCTCCACTTACAACCATAACTGGGACGATGGCTTCCATGGCTGAGAAGATGTTTGTTAAGTGAGTTGCGTCTGACTTTACAATTATTACATTTTTTGACACGATTGTTAAGGAAATCACTGCTGCATGATTCACACTGAATCACACTGTAGTTAATATAATTCAGGTTCTTCCCCCATTAACATTGGTTGTCAAAAACTAACTGGGGAAATGCAACTGATGATCACATGACCCTGGGATGCTGTAACCGTTGAAAATACCTGCCAGTTGCCAGGCACCCAAAATATTGAGCACATAACCATGGGGATGCTGTGATAGTCATAAGTGTGAGCACCAGTCATAAGTCACTAATGTAACTTTGAATGGTCACTAAATAGATGTTTGTAAGTCGAGCACCAACTGTACTGACATTCCATTTTATTATTAGTTGTGAAGTCGTGTCCAACTCAACACGACCCCAAGGACAATGTTCCTCCAGGCCTTCCTGTCCTCTGGAGTCCATTTAAGCTCACACAAACTGCTTCGGTGACTCCATCCAGTCACCTCATTCTCTGTCGTCCCTTTCTTCTTTTGCCCTCCATCTTTCGCACCACCAGGGAGTCCTTCCTTCTCATTAGGGGGCCAAAGTACTTGAGTTTCATCTTCAGGATCTGGCCTTCTAAAGAGAAATCAGGGTTGATCTCCTCTAGAACTGACCGGTTTGATCGCCTTGCAGTCCAAGGGACTCACAGGAGTCTTCTCCAGCACCCTAGTTCAAAGGCCTCAATTCTTTGTCACTCAGCCTTTCTTATGGTCCACCTTTCACAGGCATACATTGCAACTGGGAAAACCATAGCCTTGACTATACGCACTTTTTGTTGGCAGCTTTTGAGTATCCTGTTGAGAATTAATTAGGTAATTCTACTGATAAATAAATAAATAATCCTTTTGGTTAGAATTTTAACATGATCTACCAGCTGTCAATATAAATTAAAAGAGAGATGGGTGGTTAAGAAATATGAAATATAAATAAATAAATAAGTAAGTATCTAAATGTCTTTGGAATAGTTTCATACTTAAACAGGCACCAGAGAAGTAGCAATAAAATTACATAGTGTTGAAGAGCAGAGAAAAGCTAACAATAAAGGTGCCACTTTTTTCACTATTAAAGCACCCATCTGGTCAATGTCCAGTTGAGGTTCAGGTGTCTTGTGACGGTTTCTGTCTGTCTTGGTGACTCCTACATGCTAAGGCTCTGGATACAAGTCAATTCCAAATGGTTCCAAAGAACCCCATTATCTTGAGTCTTTCTGCTTCATTCATATCTCAAAGGTATCTTTCCATTTTCTTGGAATTTAAGGGCAAGTATAAAGGTAAAGGTTCCCCTTGCACATATGTGCTAGTCATTCCTGACTCTAGGGGGAGGTGCTCATCTCTGTTTGAAAGCCGAAGAGCCAGCACTGTCTGAAGGTGTCTCCGTGATCATGTGGGCTGCCTGACTAAATGCCGAAGGCACACGGAATGTTATTACCTTCCCACCAAAGGAGGCTCCTATTTTTTCTACTTGCATTTTTACATGCTTTTGAACTGCTAGGTTGGCAGCTGCAGGGACAAGTAACGGGAGCTCACTCCGTTACGCGGCACTAGGGATTCAAACCACCGAACTGCTGCCCTTTCTGATCGACAAGCTCAGCGTCTTAGCCACTGAGCCACCGCGTTTAAGGGCAAGTATAAATTAACCTTAAATAGAGACAAACATATCTCACATACATCCTGCCAGATTTCTGAAATTGTAAATGATTACTGATTAAGAATATTCACACTTCCGCCCCTCACCTCCCACTACGCCCTCATCCCCAACAAATCTTACATGACCTGGCAGTTTGCAGCAAAAAATGAAACTTTAATCAAGTTATTAACTGGTAGTGACTAAATACAATTACGTTGAATAGATATCAAATTCATTTTCATATTTGGCTTTGCTCTGAATTAGATAAACATTCTTTTATGGGAATTATGCTACACCAGTTTGTAATTTCAGACTATGAATATATTGAAAAGGAATGGGGTAACTATAATTGTTGCCTTATCTAAAGAGCAGTAACTCTTTAACTCTGAGAAAGGTTTTTATGGCTGCTCCTTTTGACTCCCAACAATAATAAAATTGCAAACAAGACAAAACAACAAAACAAAAACAACAATGGTGCTTAATCCATTATTTTCATCAACTCATCTATGTCATCCCCAGATTCCAACCTTACTATCTCAATGTTTGGGGAATGCCCCATGCTATAGCAACTTGCACTATGTTAGCTGTTTTCAGATGCATTGGACTATATAACCCTTGCCATGATCTCCTCTAGGACTGACTGGTTTGATCACTTTGCAGTCCAAGGGACTTGCAGGAGTCTTCTCCAGCACCCTAGTTCAAAGGCCTCAATTCTTTGGCACTCAGCCTTTCTTGTAGTCCAATTTTTACAGCCATCCATTGCAACGGGGAAAACCATAGCCTTGACTGTACGCACTATTCTATATACTGATAAAATAATACTATATATTTGTTCTTTGATTTCTGTTGATTAAAGGTGCAATAAAGATTAATGATATCAGTTTTTTTATAAATGAGTAACTGTTGTTTAGACTTAACAGTAAAAAGTGAATGTACTTTTGACTGTGAATAGAAAGAGGAAACAATAATTCATTAGCTGTAAAAAAGAAAACATAGACAACGGAGGTGCAAATTGTAGTTATAATTTGCCAACTTGCCAATTTGTGTGGTTCTGTAAAAGTCACTTTTTTTTTTGCAGCTAAATGAAAATCAAGGTCATTTATAAAGATTAAATGTTTGCCTTGTCATGAAACAGTAAGTGAAAAGTTCAACGTTGTATTGTTACTTATTGTCTGGAACTTGGATTGCAACTCCTATCATTCCAGAGGTGGGTTGCTCCCAGTTTGGCCCGAATTGGGCAAACCAGTAGTAGTAGGAGCGGGAGGTCCTTGCTCCTCTCAAGGCCAGGTCAGCACCAACCTCCTTGGCTCTTAGGAAAGCTAGCAAGACATGGTTGCTCCAAAAAGATTTTGAGGCTGTGGGGACAGCTGTCCAAGCTGGTTTTCTGGGCATCTTGATAGGTAGTACATGGCTTGTAATTGAATTGGGGGAGGAAGATATCTTGGTTATGTGAAGTCCTTGGTGCTCTCTTAGTTTGGTGCTTACTTGCAGACATTTCATTACCCAACTACAGTCGGTAAACATTCTCAGGGCTTGTGAATGCGGAGTTTGCTCCTTAATTAATTAGGGTATTATTTTCTGTGTATTTGTCTGCTGTTAATCACTGCATATCTAGGTGTAGGCTTATCTGGGTAAATGTATCCCTTCATATGTGGGTGTACCATATAACAAATATACCAACAAATCAAAGGAACACCCATGAGATAGAGACTCACAAGGCTCATCAAAGAACTGCAATATAGAACAATGGTGGGATTCAAAAAATTTACTACCGGTTCTGTGGGTGTGGCTTGGTGGGTGTGGTGTGGCTTGGTGGGTGTGGCAGGATACTGTAAAATCTCCATTCCGTCATGATCAGCTGGGATTCGGGAGGCAGAGAATAGAAGGGGGTGGGACCAATCAGTGGTTAGGGTGCAGTACTGCAGGCCACTTCAGCTGACTGTTATCTGCAGTTCAGCGGTTCTAATCTCACCGGCTCAAGGTTGACTCAGCCTCCCATCCTTCCGAGGTGGGAAAAATAGGGACCCGGATGGTGGTTGGGGGGGTTTG